CTGTGATGCATTCTGAGCAGGGGTACTTTCGGTCGCATTTTAGTTTCCGCTGCCGGCACTCTACACATGCAGGGTCGCGCTTCAGGGGCCTGTCACCCAGGGCCCGCGCAGCCACCTCGTGGCTACCTTGTTGTTGGCTGCCGACAGTCGCCATAGTTGGGTCCTCCATACTTTGTCGGCACACAGCAGAGTCTTGGCGTCGAGTTGTAGGATGTCAAGTGCGGACGGGACGGGACGGCGAGGCGGTCTGGGATGGGAGATGAGCGAATCGGACGATTTTACACAAACTTTACAAAAAAAAAGAGGGGGATCTGGGGACAAGACGTATGTCGTGGTCAAAAGATTCGTAAATAATAAAAGGGGAAATCTAGGGTTTTCGCACGACGTTCTCTTACGATCGGGTCTCGTAAGGCAGACTCTGGACGGTGGGGCAGGGAGATCTCCCGGGTCCGGAAATCTTTTGGGGTCCGAGGCCCCGCCCCGAACCGGCAGATGAGTGGATTCTCCCAACGCCAAAGTGGGTACTCGTACCCGTACGAGTCTAGGAATGTTCACCACCTGCGTAAGCTCAAGGAACTAACCCTTGAGCAGCTGAGGCTCTTCAGGTGGCGCTTGTTGATTGAAATTCTTTAATTTAGTTCTGTATTCCATGATTGGATAATGGGTACCTACCTTACCTACGATAGTTACGAACGATGGGATTAGGCATTCACAATCACGACTGCCCTAGCCTCCTATCGGGCAACGCTATAAAATGACAGCAGCCATGTCACTGTTCGACTGGGGCTGAGCAACTCATTGGCAGATAAAAATCGCTTGTTGACTCAGGGGATCCCGATGCCTGAGAATGCTTGAGAGCCGCATTGGTCACTTTTACTTTGCGTAACAAATCACGTAGGCTTAGTACGAGAAGTGTAATAGGCAACCTGAGAGCGCAAGAATCCAAGTTTCAATAGAAATTTGTATCGCCATAGAGATAGTTGTATTTGCCAACTGAGATGCATGTTGTTGTGGCTTCTTCGTGAACACTCCTGAAACTAGCACAAACAGCTCCAGTCTGAGCCTTGTCATTGTGGAGTTGCAAACCTGTATGATGTCTCCTGGAGTTAGCGTCCCTGTCAAACGGTAGCTGGTTCGAACCACTTGATTTGAGGGGTGGCGAAGGTTCAATTAGCCTTTATTGGCATTCTACGCAATACCAATAAAGGAGGCCCCATTGGCAGGTCTGCCGGCTTGCTGAATGATGAGAAAGGGACCGTTGATAGCCCTTAAGATGGTCCGGACTCGCGGTCGTGTCGGAGTCCCAGTTCGACACCTGGAGATGTATATCGTCAGTGTCGCATATCGAAATGAAAAGTTCAACATGGTCAAGTACTCAAAGTCCCCTCCTTCTGAGCTCTTCGTTCATTCGTCTTTCTTCTACTTCTCTGCATCTCGCTTCCATCACATATTCAACTGCTAATAAACACTCGGTTCAACGATAAACACCCAAGTTTCATCGGTTCGTAACCATTACATACCCTCATACTCTCCGACATAAGCCAAATGAGTCGCAATGGTAACTAACAACGCCTCAGTCGCCTCCTACTCAACTTGTAGACCCTCCTTCCCAGCCTGCTCAATGTAATACACCGTCTACGCCACTGTCTAACTCTACCTTCTACGCCCTCGCCTTCACCCCCCTTCTCGCTTCTCGATTCTTAAGCCCTCCCACGCCATCACCACTCTCTTCGTACTCCCAGGTCAACTTTTTCCGCGCAAAACTCACCTCATACCTCGTAGCCCCGACCCCTCGTTACCGCAGCGATTTCGGTGACATTCAAGTACCTCGTTATCTAATATATTTTGAATGGTGCTTGGTCTGTTGAAATGCCGTCGCTATACACAAGTGTCTTTTTCTATTCGGACTTCGTGTTGATGATGGTACAGGTCATCAATGGCAACGCGATGGGACACGCCACGAGACGAGCAGTCAAGATTGCCGAGAAGGCTATTTCGAACAGTGTAGTGTTCCAGATTTATCATATGGTCATTCATGCGAGTTTGACAATGGACCATATCATGCGACGCAAGTTCGACGTTTAAGAGGGGGGTTCATGGGCTCATCTTGCTGGCGTACTCCCTCCTCCACCAGCAGATGACGACGTCAGGCATGTGGCCCTAATTCGCGACAACGACGACATACCGCTTTCCAGCGCGTGTAGCGACGCCAAAGCACGTGGGACGAGCCTGCGTCCATGTGTAAGCGCTGAGAGTGTTTCGCCCACGGGGCCATTATGATCCGCTACGAAACGAAGTTGCAGGTTGCGTTGCTCTCCGCAATGGTTTCGATGCCCAATCGACGTCTCTGAATCACCCTTTACTTTTACCCGCGGAGCAGCATACCCTCAACCGCAACTGAGATATCCAAAGAGACTACTACGTACTGAGCTGATATTTCCTCAGGTTGGACGCTACAAATGATATCGTTTTGCGACCCGGGCCGTATAGGTTAATTAGCGTCTTCCATTCCCCGTTCTGAGGTGAATAAGCCTAAGAAGAGCAAAGGTGATGATCGCGAAGAGCACAGGGTTTACTAGATAAAAAAGTATAACTGGTTACAAATCCAGTGGGAAAATGGAGATGGTATACTAGATCTATTCTCTCTCTTTCTCTCTCTCCTCTTCCTCTCAAGACTATTCATTGCATTGCTTATGCTGAATAATACGAGTCGTGAAGAAAGACTACCTCAAAGAGTTGTTTTAGATAGGGATAGGTATCCCACATACGGCAGTATAGCGAGACTACTTGTTGTATTTTGCTCAGTCGAACCATATCTAGACATCGGGCCCAAGGTTATGAATATCTACACAAGGTACTATCAAATCGATCAAAGCCAAGTATGCTTCTGTTCGCATGGCCCGATGGAAGAACTTCTGATATCATGGCCTTCTGAAAATATCTTGGTGATGCTCATTCCACGGGCACCCTCGGAGATTAATGATGTAGTAATGTCTGTATGAAAAGCCGAATTTCGGGGGCAATGCAATCGTATTAGTTGAGGAGGTTGTGTCGGTTTCTATTTCTCTGTAGTACTCATCTGCAATGCGCCGACACGAGTCTTGGAATACGTAGACCCACTGCATCGGTAACCTTTGTGCCTATATACCAGTTCTAGACTCAATCTACTCAGCCGCCCATGTTTCTCGTTCATCTCGTAGTGTCCAATCAAACCGTGCGCGCACGTATGCAGTCGTTGCCCCAAAACTCGTCTTCCACAAGGCTGCCGATTAGAGTCACCAATATGCGCGGTTGACAGTTGCCACCATCTCCGTTCGGATGGTGGGGAAGAGGGACTTGGACAGCAAGTAAATGAACTACTGAGAACTGAGATCGCTACCGGGATCTTGGATCTCGGGTCCGAGACGATCGTGTTCTAGGAAGCGGGAGCATAAGGGGTCGTCGCACCGAGCCTCTTCTCAATCTCTCGCCACCAACGCTTGTTGGACATGAATCAGGAGAGCGCCACATTTTGTCGTTCGTGGCGGCCGCGCCCGGGACGCCGTCTCTTCCCCACCGAGTAGGTACTTCGGGGGAAGCGTTGCGGCACGGTAGCACCAGGTCCTCCCTCCCCCCAGCAACGTCCGATCTCCCGAGAGTCCTCAGTGGTCAATACGCACTAATCAGATACCCGAAGAAAAGAAGATGGGCGGCAAACCTGAGATTAGGTTGGGAAACAAAGCTTCTTCTTAGCGCGCTCCCTGTATCTCTGCAGTGAACCCGAACAAGCGGTCTTCTACACAGTATGCTTTCTCTGCCTCGTTTGTGGGCAGTTACCCAGATGATGGTGGGGGGAAGGCAATGCGACAGCCGACTGAGTTTAGCAACGCTGATCTCAAGATCGGGCTCACTTGCTTGTGTGTGCTTGGCAGCTTTGACCAGGGGAAGGCTATGGGGTCGATCCTGGCAGCCCATGCGATATGAATACCACCGTTTGCCGGATCTGCAAACTTCCAGTTCGTCTCCTACAAAGAGGGGATCCCGGCCAACAAACGACGTTTGCCATGTTTGTTCTCTGGTGGGGGCCTTTCGGCTAGATGAATGGTTCCAAGAGCACAATCCAAAGCGATTGCAACAGGTGATTGGTCGCGACTTGTCGACGTGAGTGTGCCAGGACAACCCTAAGCTCCATTCGCGTCGGGAAGAGCCCGCAGTGCAGACAAGCCACAGCAAGGAGAAGTCGTAGTGCCCCGATTGGGCCACGACCGTTGCTTCGCCACTGGGCCAACGGGAAGATTGCCTCGATCCTGGTCCATCTGTGAGATCAAACTTTTGATCTGTCACAAAACTGGCGGGTGCCCTTGGTGCCTGTCAAGTTTGCTCCGACCCCAATCTCCAGTATCTCCCCCAATCGAATAGAGGGTGGGGAATGGCGCAAGCAAGGCCGTAAATAGTCTGGTCCAGTAGAGAATGATGAGTAACCTCGTTACTCGCTCCGCATAGGTGACAACCAGTCGCCTGCAACAGATTAGCTGCCAAGCGCCATGCGAGAGCTCCTCACGTTCTTGCGAGGGACAGACGTTCGCGGAGCAGAAGCACCGGGGCAAGTGAAGGGCCACATGGGCAACAGGGGGGTAAGTCTTGTTGGCACGCGACAGCTCGAGTTCACCAGCAGACAGTACTGTCTGTGTCGCCAGGGGATGGCTTCGCCTCCGGTCCAATGGTCTAGCTCTTGGTGGGTTTACTGCTTTTCGAATTACACTCCCCTCCATGTCGTGCGCGTGGTGCCCGAGGCGAGGGTCTAGGCGGGTAGATCCACATCGATGGTGAATCGAGGCATTGTGAAGGGTATCGAATGAGATTCTGCTAGATCTGCATAAACTGTGAGATGCGGAAAGATGGTGTTGGGAATGGGAATTTGACAGGTTTCCATGTTTCGCTATGGTTTTGGACCGCGAATTTGATCGAGGATACCATCTTCCCTTTGTTTGTGGCAACTTCCAAGTGGCTGGAATGGGCGATCAAGGTGCGGTCGGGAGATGCGACGGGCGAGAAAGGGGCGACGACCCTGCACGAAGGGTCCTTGTGTGCTCCCGATCCACGCTAGCGATGCGGCTCGCGACGGTCGGGGACTCGAAGCTTATTCCACAGTCGACTGGTGGCGTTACTGATTGGCTGTGGGTTTCCGGGTAGCGCCGGTGAAGTAGAGGTGTCCAGAAGCCGGTGTCCGGTGCTGAAGACGGAGCTGCCGGTGTGGATCGCTCCGTGCTATGGCCCGTCCTTGTAGTGTTTTCCCCGTCGACGATGCCCGGCTGCGCCGCTTGACGGCCGGCCGACCCCATCCAAAACGACGACTGTCTTACAACTCTGGAAGAATGCTGTGTTTCGCCGTCGGCACTTCGAGGCACAACTGCTGAGGGCCAACTGACGTCATACCGCTGCAAAAAGGTTGAGGACCGGCGAGGGGTTTTTGCAAAGAAGAATAAGGGTTGCATATGGCAATGCGAGTCTGCCTTGATTTCCGTCATAATCGTGGGTCGTGGGATTTGTGTAGGTGGACTTCTATGATCGCCGGACCCTGAATTTCGAGGAAAGAGACGCAGCGGCATCCTGCGCCATGGACAGGCGTGCCTGGCTGACATGCGGAGTCTGTGTCCGAAAATCGATAATGATCTTCGAACAAGGTAGCGACACCTGCAAATCTGGCCAGACCCGTCGTGAGCGTCGGTGGCGACTTTCAGCAATGGACAGCTGAACAACTAGCTACCTACCAACCATATACTGTGTAAGAGAGAGTCAGGTCAGCAAAGAGTGTCACACAGTGTCGAGCTGTCCTTGTCCTCGAACCACCTCCAGGCTCCGAGGGGGGCGTGAAGCAGTCAGGGGTGACGTGCCCTTGGTGTCAGGGTTGCCCTGCGTGTAGCTCGGGAATGACGGAAGAGGGGAGTGTGTATGACCAATGAGCAGCCATCAAGTGGGGACGGATGTACTTCCAGCGGCTCTGACTGGTCAGGGCAATCACACCTCCAAACCTGGCCCAACGGGCGACTGGATGTGAATGTGAAGGGTACCCGTACATAGAACTGCGAGAGGTATGCACAGTGGGCACTAGGTTTTGAGGGGTCGGGGGGTGATTCAAGGAAAATGGAAGAAGGAAATAGAACTTGCGGAATTGATAACTGATGATCGTGTCCGACGTCTCTTTTCGGAATGAAGACGGCCTTGTCCACAGCGGTGAGCTGATCCTGATGCGACAGGCCAATAGATTCTTGTTCGAGCATCGAGTTGGCAATTGTGGTTGGCTGATCCAAGACCATGGCTGTATGTGGTTGTAAGTGTGCGAATCTATCCCTATGCTAGACAATACTGCGCCGCAAGGTATGTTGTTAGGCGAAGCCGTTTCCGTTGAAGAACACTGTGAATCGGCGATGAAGAATTGTAAGGGAGGTCATGCATTCGCGCGCCATGATGAAAAAATTGAGCCGAGAATTTTGGATTTGCGTAGTTGGAATTTTGGGAGGGAAACGGTCAGATAATACGGTAAGCTGGCATAGTCGGGCTGGTGCCCGTGGCCACCGACTGCGTCGATGACACAGCAAAAGCGAGATCGCGGCTTCATGATAATGCGGACTCCCCTTGACATGACTGGTCGTCTGGCGGCCCGTGTGCTGCATGAGTATTGGCTGTCGTGGCTCACTCGCGAACTCGTGGATTTCATTTTGACGAATGAGGGCGAGCTTTTGCGATATTCGAATGGATCATGATGGCCCTTCGTTGCTCTACCACAGTATTGTTCCGACTTGTTCGTTGCCCAAGGTGGACGCGGACCGGGATGACGAACAGGCCCTCAATCGCGCTGTCCTTTTGTCCAAAGCGCGAAATATGTTTTGGCCGAAATACCCTTCAATGTTGTATACACATTTATCTGTGTGGGGTTTGATGCTTCTATGCCGTTCATCTTCAGTTGGATCGTTCTACTCGGCTCGAGATTCGTAGGGTGGTGGTTGTGGTTGTATGTAGGAAGTCCAGCGTTGTGAATCGCATTTGGACCTCAAGCGCAACGAGACACGCCCAAGGGAGTGGGTGTGGCGTGACGTAAGCGGTGCCTTCTCAATCCGTCTTGGCCTAAAAAAGTGACATGGTGGCTGGGGATGAATGTCACTCGTTGCTGCCTCGGCCACGAGCATGGCATGTCACTCGCTGCGCTGTGCTCGGTCCCAGTTGTATGTAGAAGCTCCATGAAATTTCTGTGGGGGTACCTACCAGTAGGTGCCACGGTGTGCAGCTGTGCACGGATGGCTGCAGCCGCTGTCAATAATCTACGGAGTACGGAGTACGTGGAAGGAGAAAAAAGCCTTCACTACCTTATGGAACGCTGGATGTATGCTACCTATCGGAATCATGATGCTGGTGTCGCTCTGCAGTTCAAAAGCCACTGAAATGATTAGGAGGACGTAGCTGAGTCTACCCGTCCTCTCGTCCTTTTGATTCTAGTCTACAAGAGCGGCTTGGAAGTTGAAAGAACCTAGGTAGGTGGGTAGGTAGCCTGTAACGGCCGGGATCTTACCTCACTCTTGCTGTGGTAAAATGCAAGGTAGGGAGGTACCTGCCACCGCCTTCAAACCAAGGGTCTCGACAGGGGGCCAGGCGCGACCAGCGACCTGTCTGGTAATGTACCCGGGCAACGAGGAGAGAACCAAGGTAGAAAGAAGGTTTTTTTTTCTCATGTCCCGACTTTATCTGCTCGACCTAATTGTTATGGCTGTCGGCGTTTACATACTGGCGATTGCCACCCAAGTTGACGATGCACATGGAGATCCACGTGACTAGGATGGCGGGCAATGTGTCTTCGGAACAACAAGGTCTTGAAGATGAAGGCTCGGACTAATGCAGAGGAAGGAATGAAGCGCCGGTGGCAGTCTGAATTCTCGAAGGGGGTACGGAGCCGGACGACCTTCCCACGCTTCCTTACTTGTAAGGTGCACCACCATCCAAAGTTGCCCAAAGGCCTAGGTGCGTCCATCGCCCTCTCCAGCCCTGCGGTGGCCTGCCACCATTGTCTGGATTGTGTCTGGACTCTGCAGGCAGTGTCGGGGGCCGGCACACACCACAACCACACACCCACTGAGACGACACCAGTGACCAGCGACCAGGGCAGCAAGAGCAACTGTCCTCGGGTCTCGTTATTGGCACACCCCCTTCCCCTCTGCCAAAAAGACGCTGGGAAGCCACACCCCTACTCTACCCGGTAACTAGCGCCCCACTTGCCTCTTCGATTGACTCTGATCCCGAGAACCCTGTCAGGTCCTGGAGATCAGACCAAGCAGCTTGCGAGCTGCTGTGGGTTCATACCTTGTCCGCCCCGCACCATTCAACCAGCAACCCGAGCGGCGTGAACGTGCCCTCACCCCATACATTTTGGCTCTTATCCCGGCGACAGACATGTTTTTCTTCCTCGAGCCCTGGGCTCTGCATTTGCCATTACCCACAAGTCAGACGCCTGCCCTGCCCTGGGTTGCGAACAAGAGATACTTAGCTGTCCTGCGAGACGAATCGTCTTTTCAAGTTTCTTCCCAACAAGACCGCTGTCCTTCGAGGAACAAAGTCGCGGCCTTGGTGGCAAAAGGTCACGAGAGCGGGCTGCTCCTCTCGAACCACCAACACCACTTACTCTCTTCAACCCTCACTCAGAGCTGAGCTTCTCAGCTTTCGCGACACATCGCGAACTGCGCGGCAGAACGACAAACGGACCGTGGAAACACATTGCTCCTCAGGATTGAAATTAGCTGCAGTCTTACACTGTGCGTGTTTCTCCTCTAAATGTGAGTGCTACCCTCTCACCGTGTCGGCTCCTGACGGAGGTTGTCGTCATACCTTTTTCCCAGCATTCGATCGATCGATCGATGCCTCGACCAATCACAGCCTACCTGCCCACCTGACATATACACTCTTGTACCTACACAATTTCAGGGTCCAACACTTGAGCGACTATCCAACACCAACTAATACACAGCCTACAAACAGTATCCTCCCGAAATCCAGCATCAACATCCCCCCCATCATCCACTTCATCGAAGTGGTCACTACCGACAAAACGGCTTGCACAACGACAACCCGAACTCCGACTCCATGTCGCCTGAATACTTCGCATAGCAACGCGAGCACCGACGCAGAATCCGCCAATTCAGCTAGGCGTCTTGAGGTGCCCAAGATGCCCGACGCCCAGCCTACGTTTGAAGGCGGGCGCCCACCGAAGTCGCCGAAGGGACACCCGCTACCACGCCGAAGTTCGCCTGAGCATTCAATCACATTGCGCAACCACCGATTAGCACACGAAGCAACTGAGAAAGCTGCCTTAACGCGAGCCCTGGCCGCTGCCAGCCCGGAGTCGTCGTCATCACCTAACAGACAGTCTTCTGGCGAGAGCCACAATACCGGCCCTAGCGACCCGGAGAAATGGTTCGATCAAAATAATGAGAATCCCACGACAACGTATGCTGGCGCAATGGACGGTAAGCGCCCTTGAGCCACCTTTTTGGGAGAAGGTCTAACTCAAGATTCAGTCGATCCCCCGTTCTTCCAGAAAGAGAGCGATTCTTCCAACGACGACGCGAAACCCTCCGCCTACCCGACGCATCTGAGACCACCGATGAACGGAATGATGATTGGGGCCAACAAGCCGAGTGCCACGCACAGCAGCAGCGCTGACGATTATCGAAGCGTAATCGACGATTTGACGGTTGAGATCAAGAGGCTGAGGGACGAATTGAAGCGTTACAAGCAAAAAGGACCAGAATTGATGAAGAGAGACAAGTTGTTCGAAATCAAAGTCCATGGGCTTCCCAAGCGCAAGAAGAGAGAACTGGAGAGTACATTACGCGAGTTTGCATCTGGCCTGGAAAGCAGTACCCCCAGCGCCGAAGCTTCATCGTCTCGAAAGAAGTCGAGGCACAACGCTCATTTGCATTCAGGTTCTGGTTACGTCTCGAAGCATGCATCGTCTTCTTCAGGCTCTCACTCGAGGCCGGTTGACAGTGCATATGCCTCGATGTCAACTGGGGCAAACTCATCTGGCACACACCTCGCCCGGCCATCCATTAGCTCCAGAACCAAGGCATCGGACCAGAAGGTGGAGAATTACCTGAAGGACATTCCGGAGGGATTATACCCGCGACATATGGTTTTGACGGAAAAAGACCGGAAGAAGTTGATTGTTCGTCGGCTGGAGCAGATCTTCACGGGTAGAATCAGCGGACGGAATCTCGCTCGTCCGCAGCCCAAGTCCGCAGCAAACATCGCCTCATACGCCCCGATTATGGTGGAGCCGACAACCGGCAATACCACCACTCATCACGGGCCCTCTAATGTGCCCGCCGGATACCTCGAGCCTTCCCGCGAGGCTCCCATACTTGCATCCGATGGCAAGAAGAACGTCGCCAAAGATGGTGAATCATCAAACTCGAATGGCGATCAACGGGATTCTGGTGGCAATTGGGCGACCGCGGCAGATGCAAGCAGCACTTCGCCGCCGGATCCGCCGCCGCCAGAGCAGCGTCCCACCAGACCGCTCGATCTCGACCCGGATCGCATGCAAAACCCAACCGCCAATATGGACTACATTCGTCACTTGGGCCTCGCCCCTCCCCATCTTACGGCGCTGATGAGCGATGGCGATGTGTCTCCGGATGCTGATGGCTGGGTTTACTTGAACCTGCTTTGCAATATGGCACAATTGCACATGCTCAACGTTGCCCCCGATTACATCAGGAGTGCAGTGTCTGAGAAGAGCACGAAATTCCAACTTTCACATGATGGTCGGAAAATCAGATGGCGCGGTGGTACTGAGGGAACCAAGTTCAGTAGCGACAGCTCAGGTAATACCTCTCAGCTCAGTCGCTCCGACGAGTCCGACGAGGCACAACTAGACAACCAGAGCAAGAAGCGCAAACAACGCTCGGGGAAGAATGGTTCTTATTCCACTTCATATGGTAAGAACTCGTCCGACCAGTCGAAACCGGAGTATCCAATCCCATCGGCGGATACTTTCCACTACAAGCCAATGTTCGTGCACCAATCGTCGTCTGCCGAACAGACTTCACTGGATGATGTTGGCTCGTCATATGGAGTTGTTGAAGATAGCAACAACGGAGAGTCGCGATGGGATGGATCGGGATCCTCGCGCCGCAAGAGACGTCGTTTGGATGGTGCCATCATTTACTACAGCGGTGCTCCATTCTGTACCGATCTCTCTGGCGATCCTGGCGATGCGTCCCCCGCGTCATACATGACCTCATCTGGCCAGGACCAACAGCTTTCCTCTAGTGCTGGATTCCTCAGACCTGATCTCCCTCGTCGCACTGAATCAGGTTCGGCGCTCCCGTACCGGCCGCTTGTTGAAGGCCGTAAAGCCCCAAGTGTGGCTGTCACAACAGAAAATGATTCAGACGAGAGTGATGGCGGCATCGAGGCCGATTTCCCCTGGTCTAACGTCCCTCAAGACGCTGTGAGCAGCAAGCTGGACGCTTGCGGTCTGGGTGGTGTTATTCCCGATGACCACTTTGTTGTGGTCGCCACCACGAAGCGGCCGAAGGTGGATGTGAAGCAGGAAACGACGATCAGCTTAGAGTCTGAGGAGTTTTCCAAGTTAATGAGCAGAATCACATCGCCGCTTGGGTCTTCCGGGTCCCAGGCAAAATCAGCAAAGTCCGAGAGTCTCAAGAAATCACCGATCAACATCGAATACACGTCTAAATCTGTTCGGAAGCTTAACCCTACGCCTCTGCCGCCGCCGGGTCTCTACTTCGACTTCGACAGCGACAGCTCTGGCAGCTCCGACGATGATGATGACGAGTCCAACTCGGACGATGATTCAAAGGTAGGGGGCGTTGTAAAAGCTCACGCCCCTGCTTTTGACAGACAGTATCCTGACGATGCACAGATGTCGAGCGGCGACGAGGGCGACAGCGAGCCGGAAAATGGAGATGAGATGGCAGGCATTGTAGAAGATGAAGATAGCGGAGCCGACTTCAAGATCCCAATTCCCCCTCGGGATCTCCGTCGCACCAGTAGCAGCAGTGCGGTTGCGGCCGCCGGAACTGCCAGAGGTCGCAGCAATAGTGCTGAGCTTCCGGTTGCCGCCGGCAGTTCAGCCGCCACTGCAGGTGGGGCGGAGAGCGGCTACAGCAGTGGCCGGGAGGAGAGCGGTTCAAGTTGAGGAGAAGGTGCGTTGAGCGAGCTGAGCAGAAATGGCTTGTGTTTGGAAGAACAAGCCGGACTGCTGTCGGAAGTGCATCGCGTGGCGCTTGGTTCATTGGGATAGATTGGCACGATATATCCCTCATCATGTTGGAAACCATTGTTTCATCCTTCGTCCGTTGAGGTTTTGAAAAACAGCGAACACAGCCACTAGCAGGCACCTTCGAGGCGTTTTTCTATTCAGCGATTTAGTTAGGAAACCAACTCAAATGATACCCGAATTCACTTAAATACCTGGCCTCGCTTCGTTGACTTTGCGAATGCTGGAATGGGCTCAAGTCTGAAACATTCTCGTCTTCGACCCGTGTATAACTCAACTAAGGGTCTACTCAGGACGCTTCTAAGGGAGTAGTCCTACGAAGTCAGGCTAATTGATACATTTCATCAATGTTCTATTTTACTTGCACATTCGCCATCTTCTTGAACCACATGTCGATGCCCTGCCCTGGATGATACGGGTTTGGCTACCAATGCGTTCGAGGTTCTGGACCCCGGCCTACTAAGGAGAGCATAAAGACTTCCTAGGACTTGGGGGAACAAGAAACTTTCTGGGGCTCAGCTTGTGGTGTTTCTCTAGTGGCGAAATATGCAAGTTCTGTAGGATCACGGATTTGATCTGCTGAGCGTCGATCCAGGTCGGTGGGATGGGCTTGGTTTCGTCATGCGGTGTAACCCGACGCAGCCTACAGCCTTTCACGTTTGCGCGGTGATGGTACGATGGAGCGCGAACCGCGGCCTAGAGAACGCCCGGAACCCAAGGGCCCAGGACTTGATAGGCGGCGAAGTGTCTGAAACTCTTCGGTGTGTTGTTTCCTTGAGGGTGGCTGTGGGTTTTGGAAGGAATATGGCAACAATGCCACGCTGTCTGATGACTCTTCCCTTCCCCGGATCCCCGGAACGGCGCGTCTTGCTGCACCCGCAACGCTATATTTCTAACTTCGTCTTCCCCCACAAGGCCTCTGTGATGGTTTTTATCTCGATAAGCGATGAACTAGACTTGCCTTGTAGCAAGCCAGAAAAAAGTCCCATTCACAATCATGACGCAACGACAGCAGCAAGTCGCTCAAAACGTCACCAGTCGGTACTTGAAGAAGGCTAGCCTCCAGCAGCTCCTTGAGAAGATCTTCCCGGGGCACACTGATTTTGAGATTGAGGTATGCCTCGCCTTGCCTTGCCTCGCCGCAGGATGCATTCGATCGAGAATGAGATTTACTGAGACCTTGCTCGGCCACAGATGAGGGATGATGTTTGGCATTTCAAGGCGCCGAAGGAAGTTGATGCCGTATGTCTTTTCTTGCTCGAAGCCTCCCTTCAACGGGGAAAGTCTCGTTTGGGGAGTTCGATGCTGACGAGAATTACAGGACACGATAGAGTAGGAATCTGCCAGATAGTTTCGAAAATGGAAAAAAAAGAAAACGTGCTGACGAGAGTTGATAGTGCGGTTCGAGATCAATGACTTTGACCGATGGGGGGGAGTGAGGAGATGGTGGTCCAGGGGATGGATGGGCAGTGCAAGTATAGCGACATGCCAGCAAGCGTCAGCATTGGCTAGAACTCAGGAGGAACAGGCAGGCAGGCGGCTGATCGCCCTTGGGGTAGACAGTTCTCATAGCCTCACAGTGGAAGCAGATCAAAGTACATAATAAGCAGCAGAAAGCAGCATACCGCCAACATCCCTTCCTCCTTACATGTACATCCTTACCTCAGCCTTACCTGTCACACCGGCGTTGTCCCGCAACGTCCATGGCGCCGACGCAATCAGAGTGCTTCGTCAAAGATGTCATCGAGCCCATCCGCATCTGCAGCGTAACGCGCCTGCCAGCGGAGGGCGGTAGTGATGGTGAGAAGGAGAGGGTCGCCAAAGTCAAGCACCAGCAGCGTGCCATCGTCAACTTCGACGAGCTGAGCATATGCCTAGAAGACATACAGAGCCGCAGCGAGGAGCATATCCATCATTTCATGTACGTTTTATTCTAGGCTGTCATCGTCGTCGTTGCGGGAGCCCCTCTCAACCCTCCTAGCCTTGCTAACGTTAATCAAAAGCTCAATCTGCCAGCGCAACTCATGGAGGCCTCTACAGATCACCCTCCCCATGTTCGAGCTCATCATGGAGAAGCTCAGCTTGAACAGCTCGTTACGGGATATCGTCTCGTGCTTCTACACGCGGAACATGAACGTGGAAGAGGTGTTTTGTATGCCGTATACCGAGCGGCGAAAGGGATCCGTGGTCGGTGTGTACATGCTTTCGAGTTCCCGAGATCCATCTTACCGGAAACATGACGCGGGACTGATAATCTGACAGAAGCATCGTACACAATTCGATACCCCGAGTACAAATCCGAAGAGGACACGTGGGTGATTCGTCAGACGGGTGTATACCACCGCTTCGACGCGGCGTCCCGTCAGAGTCTCTTCGTCATGATCAACCCGATGCCGAACTCACAAGCCAGCAACCGAGCCATCGAATGGCTCTCAGGCAGGAATAGCGCAGCAGGCTCCGAGACCGAGACGCACGATCATGTCTGGCTGCATAAACTCGTCTTCGAGACATACTTGCCCGCGTGGAGGTTCTACATTGCTTCAATGGAACGGCAGTTTCTACCGTTGGTGAGAGATTCGATTCCAAGAAACGCGCCTTCCAAGTCAACCCTACGAGTCTAATATTTGATGCTACAAAACAGTCATACAAAACACTAATCAACTTCATCGACGAACCTACCACAATGAAACCAAGCCATCTCACAAAACTAGCCAGCCTCGCGAACCGGTTCCAGACAATCTCATCAATCTTAGAATCGTCCGAGGAGACGCTATCGGAGCTATCTGCCCTCTGCACCCACCGTCTGGTGCTGCCAAAGGAATCACCCATGAAGAATGCAGACAACGAAGTAGTACAAGAATCAGCATCAGAGTTTGAAAACTTCCGCCGCCAGTGCAGAGCCTTCTCGCGGACGGCGACGGACCTGCACCACCGCGCGCAAACGACGTCGCAGCTGCTGGCTAACACGCTCTCATTCCGGGAACAGCTCGATTCCAGGAAGCAGAATGAGAACATGTTGAGATTGAATAAGTCGGTGGTGTTTATTACTACACTGACGCTGCTTTACTTGCCGCCTTCGTTTATAGCTGTGAGTGTTTGCTTGCCTGCCTGATCACCCACCCCTCCTTCTCTCCGTTGCCCGGACGCTCATGGTAGCTTGCTAAACCCTTTACGTGACAGACATTCTTTGGAATGAACTTTTTTAACATGGACACTGTGACTGGCAAGATTGTCGGCAGTCCGATGATTTGGATATATGTGCTCTGCTCTGTAGCGCTCACGACGCTAACCTTTGCGACGTACTACACGATGCGTGAAGGAAGCTACCTCAACGCTAAGATATTGGCGATGAGAGACCTGGACTGGCGCAGGTTGCCGTATCGTAGGCAGCACGACGACAAGGACGTCGAGTTAAATAGCCTGGAGGTTTAATCAGGTGGAAGACCCCGGGCCTGCGGATGTAGCGTGGCTGCCAGGGAGGTTGATCTCGAAGACGGCGTGCCGACTGGGTCCCACAAGGGCAGTGACGAGGATATGTCTGCTGCCGTCATCGCCAACGATGTTGCCGGTGAACTCGTCGTCTTCAGATAGACTGGGTAGCTGAGCCAATTCGCGAACAGACACCGGGCGTCCCATCTCGGGTATTACGATCTCAAGCAGACGAATCCGACCACCATCTCGTTTGATTCCCAGTGCGAAAATGGCATCGTTGTTCTGGTTGACCATGACTCTGAGGATGCGGTAACCTTCAATGTTGTTGGGGTATCGGGATCGCCTCGTCGGTGAGTTAGATGAGTTCGCTAGCAGATCAACGGTGAAAAGACGGGTTTCTCGGGACACGATAATACAAGTTGCCTGTTGGTGTAGACCAGCAAATGTCGTGAATAGACTTGAGCCGTTGCTCTCTTGGCTCTTGCGAGACGGAATTGGGTCAGTAATATGGCTTCCCTGGTGATATAGATACAAACAACTGGGGGACTCACCCGCGGCTCGATGGATACTTCCTCTATATCTCTTGTTGTCAGAGAATATGAAACAACAGGTATGTGATGTATGTCGTCGTTTCTAAGGTACGGGCGAATCGCCGCGTAGCAGCGGCCCTGGCTGGTGAGTGATAAAGACATCACGTCTTCGGCAGGCCAGTCGAGTGCGATGAAGCGGCCCAACAAGTTTCTGCCACACTGTTCTATCTCATACCCCTCTGAGATAGATCCCATCCTGATCTCGCGGTCAGCCAACTGATTACGAATACTGGCAAGTTAGACGCAAGTAGATAAGCGTAGGAGACTCACTCTATCAGATCCTCGATTCTCACATGGAATATGGATCCCGATAGGCTCTCGTCTTCCTGGTTCTCCACTACGAAGACCAAGTTCTGTTGATCGGTTGACATCGCCATGATGTATACTTCCGGAACGGTTGGAAGCCGAATGTGCCAATGGTTCTGTGGGCTTGAGTCGGCTGTAGCCCCTTGCCCTAGATCGAATATGTAACACTGCCAAATCGAAGGTCAGCAGCATGAATAGGAACTCTGAAATTGAAACCTACGTTGAAGATGTTACCCGTGGTTGTGGCAATCAGATATCTGTTAGTCAAGCAAATAGCTTTCCAAAAACGGCTCGTCGATCCCAAAGACTCCAAAGAGTGATCCCCGAGTACCTTTAGGAATTCTCCATCTGCGTTCTCGGCAGAACTTGGGGCAAAGAGTGAAATCTTGCTGTCGCTCCAGTACGCGATCATACTTCCATCCGGTGACACCTTGCAACCCTTGAAAACATCAGAATTGTCTCGCGGGATGCGCCATCTTTGCACAATCTGCTCCATAGAGGATTTGGGCCTGGAAAGGGTTAGCACTCTGTTTCGAGTGACTTCAATGATGCTCATAGCTCTACGTACGGTCTCAAAGACTCTGAGGAAGATTCGAGCCGATCAATCTCCTCATACGCGTCGAGCGTGCGTCGCAGCATATTTTCGACCTCTTTTGCGCTGCATCTCTTGTTCTGATTAATCTTCAATACTTTGGACCCGAGAAAACTGAGCATGCTCCGGACTGCATGATGTTCTTTCACGCTTCTCGCGGCAGCTTTGTGAATTAGTTGCTTATGAACATTCTTTACAGCCGAATGCACAGAAGTGCGTCCGAATGATTTGACGTGGAAGAAGACGTCGTAGCTTGCATCGATGCCTCTACGGTTTTTGAGACGGTTGGTCTCGTAATTGTCGATGGCGCTCTTTCCGCCCTCGAGATAAACGAAGAGGACGCTCAGAATGCAGCCCAGTGACCACACGTCGCTTCTCGTATTCATGACTTTACCCTCACGGAACGACTCGGGTGGTAGATACGTCCCCTGGCCGCGTCGATTCTGTGTTCCTGACATCGTCCTCTGCTGCATATCGCGTCGTTTGGTGAACCATTTGGCGATATCCTTTTCTTCCTCACGGCTGGTGTGATGTCGAATTTTGACCCTTGACATGCCAAAGTCACTCAACTTCCAGATATAGCGGGGCCCGGTCCCATCGCCATTGCCGCTTTCTCGAAAAATGAGGACGTTGCTCGGTTTCAGATCCATGTGGTAACAGACTATCCTGTCGAGGCCGGGCGTCTGCATTTCTTCGTGAAGAAACTTGAGACCGTTGGCGAGACCGATTGCGGACCGGATGAAGCCTGCCCTGTTGATCGCTGTCTTTGGAGCGTTCGACCCGTCTTTTTTCATGTACGCTCCCAGGTCGCAGACCGCGAGCGGCATGAAGAGGCTGTACGGCGCCGGGCTGGCGCCCGTTGGGTACTCGATGTTCAACGTCCCCAGATTCTCCATAATGTTCTCGCACGTCTTTGACAAGCTGAGAATCATCTTCATGATCTCGCCTTCCTCCCTACTTTCAACATCGGAATCCGAAGACGACCTGACAATGTAGTCTTTCCGAGCCACCCATCGTTCCCTGTTGTCATTTCTGCGGCGGTCTTCGAAATGCCCCTTGGCAATCTTCACCTTGTACACTCTTCCAAATGAGCCCGAGCCCAGAAGCTCCTCTTCCACGTACGGTAGACGCTGGGTATCACCGTCTTGTATCGTAGTCTCCTCTCGTTGCCGAAGCACCACCGTACAGAATAGGGCCTGCGATCCATAGAACTTATCGGCTGTCGCCTCGTCCCCGTCAAAGAACTCCGTCAAGCTTTGACGGTCGGCTGGTAACGAACACACGCGCCTAGAGATCTCACAGTCCTCGGGCGGCGGCCACTCGGGAACAGCAGCTAGCTTCTCTGTGAAGTTCCTGGCTGCCTCTATACGACAGCCGGCGAAGACGAGTATCGCGAGGAATTTGTGTAACTCCCTACCCTGTACATTTTCAACAAATTGGTTCTCTGTAATGGAAAATCGGCGTCCATTGGGTGTCTCTCCGCCGATCAGGCTGCGGAAAAAGAGTCGGAGATAGTGCGGGCTCAAGACACTTTTCGGTGTCTCGCGGGTGGCGAAACGTAGACTCTCGCTGTTTTTCCGCTTCAGGTGCCCCAAGAATAAATTGTGAACCTCGTGGCACAAGTCAAGGTACTCATGAGAAGACATGGTTTGTACCACAAGTGTCTTATTGTCATAGAGGCGGCGTTTGCATGTTCGCGGATCCCCCCTCCCGGAATTGTGAATGAACGAGGAATCTGGTGAGTAGAATCGGTCAAGGAACGAGAAAATTCAAGAGTGATCCTCGAGTGAACTGCCGTGTTGGATCGAGGAGGGTGACATTTCAAGTGGCGCGGCAAGAACACACATCATCTGCAGACTGCAGCCGGTTCATCAGGCGGCATGCAGAACGAGGCAACTGCTGACTGCGCCCAGGTTGGCGCTGACCGCGTGCCGCACCCCAACATCGGTGCTTGCTTATGGCTTTAACACTCAATGTTCCGCTGTTCTGGACGTGAGGTGCAGCATTGAAAGCTAGCTGGGGTCATGGAGGTTGGGCACTTAGAACCGAGAAAAATGATAGCCTGCCATCTGAAGTTCAATGCTCTCTACAAAGATACTCATGAGATGAAATATTGTCAAATGTGGGAATCCTGAGACCAAGCAACATGTGAATATGGCATTCCACCAGGTGTCTCATTTCACTCTCGACCATACGTACCTCTGTTAAGTACGGTCATCGATAAACCCGTCAGTACCTTCTAATTCCCTTCTTTTCCTCTTGCGCCTTCTCCTGCGCCTGCGCATTAATCTCAATCGCCTCCTTCAGCTTCGCAATCACCTCGGGCTGATTGCTAAAAGCCCTCAACAGCACCTCATCCAGCTCCTTTTCGACCTTGCCAATGGGCTTGACACCAGGTTTCCTAGCCCTTGCATCGTTCGTCAGTCCGCCCCAGCGCTGCGTGAAGGCGACAATAGACTGCCTCAGCAGCTCGTCCAGCTGCTCGCTCATGTCCTCGACCGTCAACGTCTTGGCGGTGACAGTCGCCGCGCCTGCCGTCGCTCCTCGGGACCAAAGGGAGCCGCCAATGATGTTGCTGACGAAACCCACCCAGTTCTGGGGGCTGAGGTTGTCCCAGATGTGACCGAAATGTTGCATGGCGGCTGTGTCGCCTCGGATATCTCCGATTTCTAGAGAGACGAGCTCGTTTTTGATGATGAGGAGGTTCTTCACCATGAACAGATCGGCGTCCGTGCCTGCCTTGATGGATTTGATCCGCGCCTCGGCGCGTTGTAGTATCTGAATAGTTTCCCGGACGATCTTGAAGATGACCTGGCTGTTCTTTTGCTGTGGGATGATTAATTCCACTCCAAATAGTCGATACCCGGGGGCTGTAAACTTACACTTCGTTCCTTGGGCATGGCTTGGTCATACTTGGCCAAAAGCTTGAGCGCTTGCTTAACTGGGGGGAAGGCATTTGAAGAAGAAACGCCGCCGACCACTGGGCCGATAGTAAGAGACTCATCTTTAACCGTGGCCTTGGCGATCGTCTTTGTGATCTCCGCCTCAAATGCGTTGTCTGTAAAGACCCATAAATGTTCGGTCAAGAGTCTGGCACTGAGTTCACGGCATTGACGCGCGAAGGGAGATTCTTCCTCGTCGTAGTCGAGAACCAGATACTCATTGGTCAGCCAGCCGACCACACTACAGATCGTGTCGAGGTCCGCAGTCTGCAGTGCAGCATTGAGATTGGCGGCCAACTGGACGAGATTCGCGGGGTTGACGAGCGACCTCTGGTTAGACTTGAGGACCCCATATGCCGACTCCGGATCGGAGCTCCACTGTAGATCCAGACCGAAGATTTTGGCGAATAGATTGGCTTCATTGAACGCGCGTTCGAAGCTCTGCTTGATGTAATTCCTCGAAGCTGTCTCGACGGAAAGATCTTTGATCTCCTTTTTGAACTCGTCCTGGTCGTGCTGCACTATGGGCTTCAAGTCGCGGTCTCGAACAGCCAGGTAAGAGCTGAAGAGATTGCTCGTGGTATTCGAGTAGATGTCCTTGGCAACGCCAGTGATCGGAAGCCCGTATTCGTCGTACACGCTGTTGATCACTTTGTGGATATTAGGGATTAGAGAGTAAGAATCAAGAATCATCTCCTCGAAACGCCCGTATGCCAAAGCATGACGGGTGGCCTCGGACTTGGTGCCAACAATCTGGCTTGCGATCTCGGAGGAGATGCTCTCCAGTCTATTGGTGAAACCGACCTCGAGAAGATGGAGTGCCTTGGTCAGCAAAGCCTCGTATCGAGCCAGATAGGACTCGGCGTCACGGTACGTCGTCTAGATTTGTCAATCAACCTCGATTCGTGGATACCCTTTATCGCAGAAATACTCACGTGTTTCGACATGAAGCCGATACAAGAATCTAGGTTCCTCAAGATCTCGCCGAAAGATTCATCATCAACCAGACGTCCAGCGCCAGGAGCATTGAGTCTCCTAGAGACATTATCGAGGTATGCGTAGAAGTGAAGATCAGTGCCGACCTCGTCTGCAAGTTTCTCGAGCCTGTGCTGTTCCGACAATAGGTCCTCGCACTGCGACTGGAACGAACTCGTCTGTGCTTCGACGGATTGGAACGATTCAGACAATGTTGTCAACAGCTTGAGCGCTTGGTTGGTATCGTCGATGAGCATGTCGAGATGCCGTTCCGTGAGCGTCAGTTGGTCCTTGTACAGTCTGCTCTAGTGATTAAAAAGGGCAAGTTTCGTGCGTAGCTGGTCCCTACTCACAGGTATTCTTGCTGACTAGCCTCAAGCAGTTCCCCCTCGTACTGGCGATGAACCGGGCGAGGTCCGGTCTTGGATTCGGCAACGTCTGTCGCAATATCTAGCGCATCCCATGTCTTTTCCTTCTTCCGCCTGCGCCTCTTGTGTTGCTCATCCTTAGCTAATTGGGCCCGAACGACGTGGTAGAAGTCCGAATAGGACTTTGCGCGGCGCAAGACCTCGGCTTCCGGGGGTGTGTTTCGGTCTTCAATCTCTTCGAAGATTTCGTCGAGAGCCTCTGGCGCATTAGAAGCTTGGGGAATACCCTTATGGTAACACCAACTGTCAGCACGCCGTTGCGGTGGTGATGGTTATGGTGACGGTAGTGGGGTTTGGGAGCTAACATTGGACTGTTGCAACAGCGACTCTTTGCGACGATGGCCTGGGCCTTGGGCAGCCGTGCTAGCTTTCTTGGCCACCTCCGGCACGAAGCTGTACCAAGAATCGTCGTACATCGTAGCTTCGCCTCAAAGTCGTGGAGGGGCTTCCGGGACTGGGGTTGAGAGTGAAGGGAAGCTCTGGCGTGAAGAGGGCCCCGATATGGCGCCGGGTCGGTGGCTCCCACCACCGCTCCAAACGGGACAGCTCAGCTCCCTTGGGCGTAAACTGGGCGGAAAATCATTGGCCCCAATTGCGAGCGGTTGGAGCTCAGAGGTACAAAGTGGGGCCCGCATGCTCACCCGCAGCGGGGCGCACGGTCCCTGCACTGGCAAGGGTCCGGGAAAGTCTACTGAGCAGATTAAGCTAAGTGCTGGGCGAATCGAAGTTTTAGTTTTCGTTGATGACCTCACGACCTGTAAGCGACTACACCTCACCTCACCTCACTTCACTTCCTCACCCAGGAAGGGCCTTTCTTTCTCATCTCACTGCAATCCTTTACTTAATGCTCTCATCATCCCAAACATAATTGCACTGATACCATTCTGTCCAATCAACTCTCGTGAGCCCGAAAATGAAGGCTTACAGGGCAGCTGCACGCAACGCAGGCACTTCTCTTACAGCCCAGAGATGCGCTGCTGTAGCTCGTCGCTACGCCAGCTCCGGGCCTCGCCGGGCTGGTGATAGGTTGGGCATGGGCAAGGGAAAGGCATTGCTTCTGACCGCAGGAACTGCTGGTGTCCTGTACTATGCCGACGACTACTTCAACGGACCCCTGAAGCAATACTTTGGCTCCGAGGTTGAAAAGGAATCACCCGACGTGCGGAAGCCAAAGTACCAAAAGGCCGAGATCAAGTTTGAGGAGGCGAGGAAGGCGGCCCAGTCAAAGGAGGAGAACCGCGATCTCATTAGCTCGCAGCATCTCCAGGTCAAGCAGAGCTGGGAGAACCCGGGCGTGTATGCCTGGGGAAGCAACGTTGGCAAAGTGATTGACCCACAATCCAAGGAGACTCTCGTCAAGCTCCCGAGACGGATCAAGTATTTCGACGGCCAGCTGCTGAGGGACATCAAACTGTGTCAAGATTTTGGCGCTGCTGTCACGGAGAAGGGCGATCTCGTCCAATGGGGCCTGGGCTTCTCGAATACTGATCCTTCGCCCGTCGAGACGCTCAAGGGCAAAGACATTTCCAAGATTTCCATCTCCAACGACCGCATCATCGCACTCTCCTCCAGCGGATCAGTATACTCGGTCCCAGCATCAAAGACCGGCCTCACAGCAGGAAAGCAGTTACAGCAGCCTCAGCAGTCATCATCATCCTGGATCCCCTTTTGGAGCTCGCCCGAATCTCAGTCCGTCAAGGCCAGAGACCTGACCCCCAAGAACCTCGCCTGGGGTGAGAAAGTAACAGACATCAGCAGCGGTCTCCAGCACAGCCTCCTCCTCACCTCAAAGGGCCGCGTCTTCTCCGCGGCCTCGAGCACGGCAGAGTACCCCTCCAAGGGCCAGATGGGCATCCCCGGCCTGAGCTGGACGTCCCGCCCGGCCGGCCCCTTTGACCAACCCCAGGAGATCACCGGCCTCTCGGGCTTCTCCATCGCCAAGATCGCCGCCGGCGACTTCCATTCCGCCGCCCTTGACAAGGACGGCAAACTCTTCACATTCGGCGACAACACGTACGGCCAGCTCGGCCTGCCGGCGGACCAGGGCTACCAGAGAGTCGACGTCCCTTCCCTCCTCCCCACCGCCAAACTCTACGCCAACACGGGCCTCATCCCTACGATCACTTCCATCTCTGCCGGCGGCAACAACACCTTCTTCACCGTAGACGCCACCGAAGCCGTCAACGAGAACCCCTTCGCACCAGCAGCGTCCGTCACCGGCGACATCGCCCCCGCCCGCCGCATGCCGCGCGTCACGGCCGACTTCTGGGCCTGCGGTCAGGGCGTCTACGGATCCCTAGGCACCGGCAAGTGGACGCACGTTACCCCGGGGCCGGCAAAAGTGAAGGCTCTCTCCTCGCTCTTCGAGTTCGACGAAAAGGCCAACCGCATGGCCCCCATCCGCCTCGCCAACGTCTCTGTCGGCGCGACGCACGTCTCGGCGACCATGGACAACGTCACGCGGACGGGCGCGACAACGCGGTCCTCGGACAATGACACCAACTGGGGCGCCGACGTGCTCTTCTGGGGCGGCAACGAGCACTACCAGCTCGGCACGGGTAAGCGCAGCAACCTCAACGCGCCGGCGTACATTGGCGCCCTGGACGGTGGGGCAGGGGACGCCGTCAACGGTCGCGGGGGCGAGGTGCACCGGTTCCAGCTCACGCCGCGGCAGACGGTCCGGCTGGGTAAGGACGGCAAGGGCAGGAAGGTTAGTCTGGAGCAGAGGGTGGAGTGTGGGCGGTTCGTGACGGCCGCGTACTCTGCTGTTTGAAGAGGCTCTTTGGGGTGGGTAGAACGACGAAATGGGCTTCAAATGGGCGGCTATTGTGGTATGTTTCATGACTTTTGGCCGGGCATCGTCGTCGTCGTCGTCTCTTGATTCGGCTACCAACGCACGAATGAGAGGGGCGCGATGAACTGTACTATTAGGTATCGGGTGGCTTTCACAGCTTGTAAGGATATAAAACCTTGTAATTACAACTATAGGAAGAGGGGAGATACAGGGAGAAAGCTCCAAGGCTTCCTCGGAGACCTTCTCAGAAACCATACTCGGGTCATCCGCGGAGCATCTCGTCGATATATCGGAGAGACTCTATATTCCCCGTATCGAAACGCGCCAGAAATCTTGGCAAGGAAATTCAACTCACACTTTATCGCAATCTTTTGACAAGCTACCTACATGTACCTCGATCCATGTGTTGAACCCGGGGTTTTGCCGTTTCTCGGCGTTTTTGTTGCTTCTTTTTGTCTAGCGCAGGATGGTGAATCATCTGAAGTCTGGTCTATGGCTTGGCAGGTGGTTTCGAACCACGGAGAGAAGGGGGAAAAGGGGGGGACCGCTGTTCAGATTTCCGTTCTATCGAATGATGTCTATCTATCTACCTGTCCGGTTCAGAAGAGAGAAATTCTCGGGTTTGCTGGTCAGACGCTGTGGACAGGTATTGAGTCTGGGTTATCCGAGAATCCGTATCCATGTCATATTCACGCAGTCATAGTCATAGTAATTGTAGCCGTCGACCCTTTGTCCTTTTGACGCGCGTTACCTGTCAAAAATGGAGTGGGTGGTCTATCGGATACACTCTGGCGGCGCAAGAGAAACTCTGCCGGAAAGCTGAGATGACGGCGGTCCCAAGCAGGTGTGTTGTAGGTAGTGGTGTACTACACTTACCTCAATAGCCGGGTCTTGGCAACGCCGGCTTGAAGAAGTGACATGTTCTCCCACATCAGTCGCGGAGGAAGTTCTACCCGAACGAGACTTCTTCCAGAAGGTCTTGGTTGCATTCCAGGTTTATGACTCGATGGAGGATATACTCAATGTAAGCCAGTTAGCTACTCAGCTGAACAAGAGCGATACTCAATACGTCGACAAGATGAAAGAACCAACAACGTTCTAAGTTGAAGGGATGAATGCTCGCAGCTAAACTTGGCACCTTGCCTTCCCTTCCCCTTCCCCTCGTACGGGCCAATAACCCGGATGCAACGCGACGACATGACTCTCTCACACCCTCCCCCAACAGCTGAACACGAAAGGTCGGCAACCCCCCGAACCAACACAATCCCGCATACGCACAGCGGGAGAGACGGGAGCGGGGAGGGTGCGCGTTAGTTGTCAGCTGAGGCGGGCGGGCAGCGGGCCATTACGATCTATTATCCCGTAGGTAGCGCCACCCAGAACAACGCTAGAGAGAAATGCGACGTGCCTGACTCTGGCATGCCCAACGGCCAAGAGGGGGGCACGGGGGGCTAGGCTACTAAGTTGCTGCAGCTGGCCTGCAGTAGCAAGCGTGGCGAGCAACGGTTTCCTGGTGCTACTCAGTATCCATACTCCGTGCAGACTTTATTCAACGAACTTGCGTTAGCCGGTGGAGAGAGAGTTGGGCAACGCATGGAGAGGTAGGGTAGGTAGGTATGTGTTTCCGTACAGATACGCATGCACATCGGGCATCTACCTGATCTGTAAGGTACGGGCGGCTGATTCGATAGCGCGCCCAGGTGATCGGCAGACTCTCAAACTCTAGAAACCAGATATCGTCGGGCGCAGGCCGGACAAATGGGACGATCCGAGAATGGGACCCGATATTTCCAATAAGCGCGCCTCTTATACTACGACCAAGTTCTGCAAGAGTGGTAAGGTTTTACCTAGTCGCCTAGGTTTTTAGCGACAGCGGCCGTCAGCCGTCATGGGGGAAAGGTAGACTCACTCGCTGGCTCGAAGCTTGATTCTCTGCCGTGTTAGAGCTTCACTCAGCTAGAAATTCTAGCACAAACGCGGAGGGTGACAAGAATACGGTAGGTATGCATCCGTCTTCCTTCATGAACCATGATAGACGGAAATGCCGACGGTGTAACCGTTCAAAACTTGCGTGGCCCCCTTTCCGTTTCGAAGCGCGGTTCCAACCTGACAGAAACCTTGAATCAAAGGCAAGAACCTGCTGGGTTCCTCGCCTTGCCTTCCATTGCCTGGGAAGGTGGTACGGTGGAACGGTGGCAGCAGCCTCAACAGCGGGCAGGCAGGCACGCAGTGCAGCGGTGCTTCCAGTTCCTCGGGACGCGGCGGCAGGGCGGGAGGCTAAGGCAAAAGAAAAAAGTGGGCCGTTCCCAGGTCTCTCTTGCCATTTACACAGCAGTGTACTTTCGCAGGCGGAAGGGGCAGGGGCAAGGGACCCCCCCCCCCCCCACCCCGCCTTCCAGAATGACTACCTCAGTATAGCCTGTAAGGTAGGTACGTATCCGTTAGAATTCATTGGTCTCCCGAGGATTCGGCGGACCAAGAAGCCGTGCACTGGCTGCACTGCCCGAGATTGCAGAACATGGGCAAACGTTCCAATGTTCGATCCAGATGTCGTTCATCCCCCTGCTCTGCTGCCACCCCCTGTTACAATGGCGACTTTGCATCGCCGGTTCGACCTTTGAT